ACATGCCATTTCTTCTGAAAATGCGTTTATTTGGGTTATCTGAAGGAAAATTTCGAGTCAAGTGGCGTATTAATTTTGCCTTCATTTTTGTGAATTTCAATTTGTGTCTGCAGAGAGAGGGGGTAGTGTCACAATTGACCAATTATTTCAAAAAGTAGATGTTTGGCCCCTATTGAGTTTAGTGTCAAGATGTAGCTTAGACATAGCTTTAGAACCTCAGATAGGCCAGCGAGGCCACATAAATCCATAACTCGAGATAAAAAGTCAGGCGTTTGCCATTTTGCCCATTGACTAGTGTGGTGACGTGAATTAGGGCAGTTTTGCCTTTGTTAATTTTTTTACTTTGCGTTCACGGTTACGTTGTGAAAAACATCGTTAGCTTAACCTCTCCACTCAGTAATGCCTTGGTCACACTTGCTACGATTTTCACTACGGCGCCCGGGCGATTGAGTATTTTGTTCAAAATTGAATACGATATTGAACAAAACACTCAATCGGAGCAAACGTGACCCAGGCATAAGTAAAACTATTTTATCAAAAGCTGCATCAATCCCATATACTAGTAAACATTTTACGGATAAACAGGAATCATTATCAAAACGTCAATTTAAACTGAAATTTTCAAATAAGGTACAGTTTTAAAAATAGGTAATCTGAAAAAATCTTTGAACATTGACTTTTCAAACTCAAACATAGTACACGTCTGTTTTTAAAGTCATAGGTTATTTGTCTCAGCAAATGTCTAAAATGACTTTTTAAGACTCGGAAAATAGAATATGCAAATGGTAGAAGAATAGTGTAAACTTTACGAAGCCTTTAATCATTTTTGTTATACTTTTTATACTTTGTTTTACAGAACCCAACTGTGCGAAAGTAAGATGCATTCCATGTGAGGACGGATCATACCCAGTCGTTTCCGGGAAAGGTTGTTGTAAATGCCCAATAGCTGATATATAATTATACCCGTTCGGATAAATAGATGACGCAATTTCTGTATGCTTACGGAGCTTCGCTGATTACAAAATTGTCTAATTAACCACCTCAACACCAGTGGGTTATTTGTAATATATATTCAATTTAGTAAAAAAAAGCTACTAACTAACCACATATTTACAGACTAAAGATAGCAAAATAGACAAGTATACTGTTGTAAGGTCATTAATGCTTAAATTATCAAGGAAAATCAGTTGTCAAAAGTAATATCGTTTCAAGGATCCCATTTATCTCCTCTTCCTATGTTTGGACCGAAACCTTATTTTCAATTTTTCCCATTAAAACTTGGATTAAAAAGATGTGAAAATTGTAGCTCGTCCATAAGACCACTATTTAATATTTGATTTTGGAACTAGTACACTTCTGCAATGCTGATATAGCCTTATTTCCGACACTTTACCTTTTCCAATGGTATATTAAACCCTGGAACAAAATGTGTCTAAGCTAGATAATGAAGTCAAGTCTTAATTTTCGTAAAGAAACCGATGCGCATTCCACCAGATCTTTTAAGAATTTGTAAGAATTGGTTCCACTATTCTGGCCATTCTCGTTAGGAGGAGAAATATTTTACTGAGCAAACCTAGAATCTAACCAATTTAGATAAGAATAGGGCTAGGTGGGGGCTCTTGCGATCTTGAAAGATTTTCTTTCTGTTTCTAATTTTTTTGCTAGAATGAATTCCAGGGGACCTATGATTCTAAAAATTATAGATCCAGCAGACCAGGCTATCAGGTTTTACCCCCCCCCCCCTTAAAGTTCAGGACCCTACATACTCTAATCATGTAGTTATGGCCTCCTAAAAATTGCAAAATGATTGTGTGTAAGGCAATTTAAAGTCTGTCCCATTTCCAGGGGATCATAATTCGATGATCAAAACATATAGGGACCTGAATCTTTCTGGTGTGAGACCTGATGACCTAACATCTAGCACTTGCTCTTCTGGGGATGAGAGTTCTTCTATAGATGATTTTTGAGCATTCCAAATCTATACAAAGAGTTGATTGAGATAAATGAATACATAAACAATAAATCACCATTTAAAACAATTATTTTCTCAGAAATGAAGGAACAAAACCATCTCAAGAGATGCTGTCACAAATCAAAGACATATTGTTCTGCAGTTTAGGTGACTTTGATAAAAATCACTAAAGTGCCTTTGGTAGAACATAGGTCTCAAACATGATGAAAATAACACTTTCTGCATTTTTAGACGATTATTGACATGGCAGCGAATGGGCATCAAAAAGTTTGGTAGGGGGAGGTCTAAACGTCAACGGATTTGGTTGATTTCTTTTGTGCTTGCTTTCCTTTATCAGGAGGACATCTGGGCAAAACTCCATCTTGATTTGGAAAAAAGTCGAAAAGTGAAACACCCTTTACCAAACAAAAGCTGGCCACGGGCATGTTGCTCATATTGCATGAGAAATATTAAACATTGCACTGGATGAAATCATTTTCATTGGAATCTATATAAAAGTAGTCTAGCACTTACAATGACTAAGATGTGCAAGCAACATTTAACATTTCGGGTAAAGGCCAGACATTCTTCATCATAGGGAACGACAAACAGCATTCAAAATATCATGAAAAAACAGCGTTGGCAATGAGGGAATGAGAAATATCATTCAAAGCAAGTTGTATGGTTATGTGTCGGTCATGGAAATAAAAGGAAAGTACATGCATCGCTATTCCCACAAAGTGATAACATGATCATATGTGAAACTGAGAGTGAAATATATTATTTCCTGCCCAGTAGACCTACCATTGTTTCTACAGTTGCAGAAACCATGGTTGTTTGAATATAATTCTCCTTGTTCAATTTCATATTCTAGATAACAGTTATGATTAAAAAACGCATTTCTATATTTTCAGATAACTACATCATGCCTATGGTAGATCTACCACTGTTTCAGCAGTTGCAGAAACAGTGGTTGTTTGAATATAATTCCCACTGTTACAGGATAGGTATCGATATTGTGAACTGAATTCAACAATGTTTTTCTATTAAACCAATTATTGAAAACATTCTGTAAAAAACACGGTCCTTTATGTAATGTTGACTGATTGACAATAATTCAATGCGAAAATTATTTATATATATTTTATATAACTGTTTTTGTTAACATTTTTTTGTTTTTTAGTGCAATTGATTTTTGTTCCTTTCTACCAATTCTTGAGAATGGAATAAAATGTGTTTCCGAATCTTGTTGGAACAAAATAGCATATACAAAAAATTTGCGAACACAAGCTTAGCTCTGACAGCAATGCTCATTGCTGATTGTCTTTGTGACCTAAAATACCAAATGTAGGATTCAACTTAAATGTTCTCAATGTCCTTGTACCTGAAATACGCGTGTTTTCATTTGTTTTCCAACAATACTTTCCACTAGTTTCGAATTATTCAATGCATATTGCTATGTTTTTGCTGATACAAAGATTTTTTCTGATACAAAGATAGCAGTAGTGTAGTTTACATGAGGTAATATTGTCTAGGATATATTCACAATTTGACTGTGCTGCCATCTTTTTATGAACATTCTTTTTATCAGCCACGGCGGCCATACGCTCTTACATTTCTATAGCCAATATAGCAATACTACGACCGCCGTAGACTTGCCGTAAAGCGCAGAAGTGGCTGAATCATAAGCCTATGATTATTCCTGTATATTACAAATGATATGTCCAAGATATGAAGGCTTACTTCGATATCATACATTAACGGAACGAGGAATCTATTGCACATACACTCCCCTTCATAAGTTTGGCAACCTTAGCTCCCCCATTGAACTACGTCTGATTTTTTCTATTACTTTTCTGATTTTCTGATCAATTTTCGACCCATTGTAATTGAGGAAAAAATTGAGAAAATTTGGAGGTATTGGAAATAAAGTCAAGTTACGTTTCCATCAAAATTATAAGTATTTTCATCGCAGGTTAAGTTAATAAAAATTCAAACGTAAAGATGCTTTAACACGTAGTTCAATGGGGGAGCTAAGGTTGCCAAACTTATGGAGGGGAGTGTATCAACCTATTACCATTTGCTACGGGGGCCATACGCTCTAATATTTCTATAGCCAATAGCAATACTACGACCGCCGTAGACTTGCCGGAGAGCAGATGTGGCTGAATCATAAGCTTATGATTATTCCTGTATATTACAAATGATATGTCCAAGATATGAAAACTTATTTCGATATCATACATTAACGGAACGAGAAATCTATTTCACATAAAGTCCCCTTCATAAGTTTGGCAACCTTAGCTCCCCCATTGAACTACGTCTGATATTTTCTGATACTTTTCTGATTTTCTGATCAATTTTCGACCCATTGTAATTGAGGAAACAATTGAGAAAATTTGGAGGTATTGGAAATAAAGTCAAGTTACGTTTCCATCAAAATTATAAGTATTTTCATCGCAGGTTAAGTTAATAAAAATTCAAACGTAAAGAGGCTTTAACACGTAGTTCAATGGGGGAGCTAAGGTTGCCAAACTTATGGAGGGGAGTGTATCAACCTATTACTGTTTGCTACGAGGGCCATACGCTCTTATATTTCTATAGCCAATAGCAATATTAGGGCCGCCGTAGACTTGCCGTAGAGCAGAAGTGGCTGAATCATAAGCCTATGATTATTCCTGTATATTACAAATGATATGTCCAATATATGAAAACTTATTTAAGCCTCTCTTAGGCTCATTTGACCATGCCAGTTGAATCATGGGAACAATCCTACATTTATTGTGACTATCTGATTTCAGAAACATCTGATACAGAACACCAGAAATACCTGATTAGAGTTTTCAGCCAAAACACATTTAGGGCGATTCATACTCGTAATACAGTCTCAACTGCCACCAATGTTTCTAACTTTGACAGTCTTGTTTTGTATATTTGAATGTATTAACAGGAATGGATGATTTGGGGAGGGGTATTATTCTTCCTTTACGTGTTAGATCGTACTTTGGGATTTGTTTTCCTTGTGATTGTCCTTTCTAGACATGAGTTAGATAAAGAAAGCAAATGATTCACATTTATAAAACAGGGCACAGAGAAGCACAACTGGTTAAGATGAACCCCACCATCCAAATGATCAATTAGACGAAGAAACTGTGTCAAATGACCTCTCTTGTCCCTTACCTTCAGATATACGTTATAATACATTTAACCATACGTTTATTAAAACATTAACATTACAAGCTGCACATTCATATTTATATGGGCCTTTGTTTTTTTCGGAAAAATAATCCATAGTATGTAAAAAATATTCCTCTAAGATCAAATGATCCGGCCCTGTTGTGAGAAGTATATCGTTTTGTTGCCAACGAACTTGCAGAAGTTATATATACGGTATGATTTGAGCAACATCAGTTCTATTTCGTTTTTAGTGGAAAACTGCTCTGTTGAGACAAACGGTCATCATGACTTTTGGAGAAGATAGTTCTTCACATCTGGAGCGCCTTCTCTTACAACATGTGAATGTATTTTGACGTTATATATAAAGTAGTGGAATAGGTACATATCTTGTGGACTCACGTAATGGTAGGCGATTGGGTATTCACTGCAGCAATCAACACCCTAAAAATACAAACAAAGCTAGAAAATCCAAGAAACCCGATTTTATTTCATGACGCATGCGCAATTCGAAACAATATGTTCTAACATTCATTGTCCCTTGGCCGCAGAAACGTCAAAATTGAATGTATTTTTCGCGTAGTGAAAGTGAGAACATTTTCGTTTTGAATTAATACATAAAATAACCAAATGGATCTCTTAAAGTGTACAATGCCGTGGCTGTTCAAAATCTTTTGGAATAATTCTGAAAAAGCTGATGTTGGCTTTTTTTTCAATTCTATTCAAAGCATCTTTAGTATACAATTACTTTTTTATTTGACAATATGTCAAATATCTTTTCAGATATTAAAATTGCTTGGATAAAAGGAGACAAACGGAAATTTTTATCGTATGCTGCGTAAAGTATTTTTCATTTATTGTTTGCTTTCACTATATAAAAGCAGTGTGCTTTCACTATATAAAAAAGCAGTGTGCTTTCACTTTATAAAAGCAATGTGCTTTTACTTTATAAAAGCAATGTGCTTTCACTATAAAAGCATTGTGCTTTCACTATAATAAAAGCAGTGTGCTTTCACTATATAAAAGCAGTTTCGCTTTCACTATATAAAAGCAGTGTGCTTTCACTATATATTTTATTTAGCATTTTGGCACATCAATTATATTTTTATAATCTATTGCATTATCAAAACGTTATTCAAATGTACACAAATGTACATATTGCTTGATAACGATGTAATTGCCAGATATATGGAAACCCAGACTTATTGTATAATATTCTTTAGCCTTTGCCACCGCTTTAATTACAATATAACGTATGCCTAAGTCACATTTGATCTACGGCGAACATACGGTGGCTGTAGCTTCCCAAAATCGAGAGAAATATGCAGCATGAAATATGGGGAAAAGCAACAATGTAGAGTTCGATTTTGTGAAGCTACGGCCGCCGTTCGACCGCCGTAGAGCATGAGTCTTTAGCGCCATAGATGCAAATGCGACGACCATGTCACACTGACTTAATTTGAAAATTCTTCATCAAGAACCATCTGAGTAAATTTTGCTAAAAATGCACAATATACATTGATTAGTGTACTAGCCTAATCTAAAGTAAATTTGAATATAAAACACAAAATAAAATAACAATTGAAACAAAGACACTTAATGTCAATTTGTAATTTTTTAAAAGCTTAAAATTTCAATTGATTTGTAGTAATAGGGACTATAAAAACTGATTTGATCAACATGCTTAACTAACATACAGAAAGTAAATGAAGAACTTGCTTGCAAACGCTTGTTTGGGTATCTAGAAATATAAACACAAGCCTTGTTCTCGTCAAACCACATGGAAAGATATAACTTGGGCTAATGCAGGTTTATATGCACGAGCACCGGTCACATTTGCAGCTACGATAGCCGTATACTAGTCCCTGTATTTTATGCTGCATGTTGTTCTCTTGACTTTCGGAAGATATGGCCGCCGTACGGTTGCCGTAGATCAATTGTGATTGAGGCTTAAAAGACATACTGGTATAGTCTGGAAGCAGGAGGCTGTTTTGTCTTTAGTCTCTCGATAGCAATGTTGCACTATTACAAATGATTCTTTATATGGCTCTACTTTGACTTTGAAACACCAGCTGTTTGAAAAATTACTCATAATCGCAAGCTGTGAATGATTTTTATCCAGAGATTTACAAGTGATTGTCAAGACTCGGGTAAGTGATCAGACATTTTCCTATCCTTTAGAAATTAACCGAAGACAATAGAAATGTTTGACCACGTTCGATGTTGTCCATCAGGCCCTTGGCGAAAGCTCCCCTCCCCGACCAGATATTCTTTAAAAACATATATATATCGTACAGTTCTTCACAATTTTGAGTACTTTTCGCATGCCTTTATAGCCAAAACTGTGAAAAAGCTCCTCATCCTGTCAAAAGCCCCCTCCCCTTGACGAAAGCCAACTACGGGCAAGACAATACTGGGGGGTATCGTGATGCAACAACACCGTGTTGTTGCATCAAGATGGCCAGACTTCCGGTGATAGATTTTCGTACGATGTTTTGTTTTCCCAATTTACACCCATTTCTAGGACGAGTTGCTCAATAATCATACACATGCAGTTAGCGCATGATCTATATTTAAAAAACTGTCATTGGTATACATGTAGCATCATCAAGAAGCGATAAATTCGTGGTTTTAATTCCTCACTATTGATGCAACAACACCACTCTGTTTCTTATCGATGATGCAACAACACCAATGTGCTGATGCAAAAACGCCAATATAATGTATCATTGAACAACAAGAGAAACTGTTTTATGTTCTGTTTACAGGTGTACAAAATGTAGGTCGGGACATGAATAAAACGCGTGAGTCAGTGGTCCATGAACGAAACGTATTTTGTTTGGTTTCTTTGTCTATATCAAAGTTAAAAGGATATACAAGGCAAACTAAATAAAGTACTGAATCCCCGGGAGGCAATCTCATTGATATTGTATCTGAAAAATAAAGATTATACATTTTCAAAACTAAATGCCCTTGATTTACCGTATGGATATTGTTTACAAATAACTAATATAATTTTGGAAAGACAACAGATATCAGTCATTTTGTGTTGTTAGTCATGTTAGTACCTCAATTGAAATACTCAATTCTGATTGGTTGATGAGCGGTCAACAAAATGTATTGTTAGTACCTCAACTGAAATACTCGATTATGATTGGTTGATTAGCGGTCAAAATTATGTATTATTATATACCTCAAATGTATTCTAGATGCTCAGTGGCTTATTCATGGTCACATGACATGGAATAGATGAACTAATTCCATGGAAAGTCCTAAATCCCTGCTTTCAGGGAAGATGAATTGTACTAATCACCAGTTAGGTCATGTGACCAGTCAATAGTACATTTTATCTTCCCCCAAATCTGAGATTATAGGAGTTGAAAGGTAAAATGCCTTTAAATGCCAATAAGAACCTGTGAACATTTGATATTGAAATGAAAAGACTTCTCATTTTGTTTTTGTTTACAGAGTACTTATCAGGTATATAATAAAACAAATAGTGACTGCCACATTTTCGGGAAATAGTGTAAAAATTTTCCTCTCGGGAATATCCTGTCCACTGACTTGTTCCTTCGGCCTGCAGCCTCGGGAACATGTCAGTGGACAGGATATTCCCTTGAGGAAAATATTTTGCACTATTTCCCTCAATGGCAGTCACTATTTGTATACTGTTGACCGCTACCAGGTACTGTTGACCGCTACTTCTGAAAAAAAGTTTCATGACGTCACAAAAAACATGGAAGACGGACATTTTGCATACGTTGATGAAAATGACTTGACTAGGCGACAAGTATAGTAAAAATACAAATAGAAACTTAAAATTAACATTAATTCACTAACGAGTACGCCGTGATGTGCCAAATACAGAGTTAAGCTACTTGCACTGTCTCCAGATTTTCTAAAAAATATTGCTAACGTGGTTCGGAGAAAAGGTTGTGAAATGAAGCCATGCCGATTGGTGATTGTCGTCTATATGTGTATTATTAGTTTACTCGGACTAACAAAACAATTGTAGACCTCTCCATTAGATCAACCGTCAAAATCATATTCCTCGACTGTAAACCTCGACCTTCGGTCTCTGTCAACAGTAGTTTTTCGGTTTACAGTCTCGGTATACAATTTTGCCGGTTGACCTCTGGGGAGGTCAACAATTGTAAACTGTTGACCACTACTAGGTACTGTTGACCGCTATTTTTGAAAAATTGTTTTTTAATGTTGAAATTTTTTTAATTTTGAAAAAATAAGTTGTGTAAAAAATTACAAGTATTCGACGGTTTGGGGATTTTTTGCTAAAATATGATACCTTTACTTATCAACGTGATATTCGATTATATATTCGTCCAATTATTATATTATTTGGACTAACAGAACAATTGTTAACCTCTCTTTTCGGTCAACTGGCAAAAGTGTCCTCGACCTCTGGTCTTCATCAATAGTACTTTCAAGGTTTACAGTATCGGTATACAATTTTGCCAGTTGACCTTTAGAGAGGTCTACAATTGTATATCCTTCAAATTATTATATTCTTCGGACTAACAAACAATTGTTAACGTCTCTATTCGGTCAACTGGCCAAAGTGTATACCTCAACAGTAAACCCTGAGAGTACTGTTGACCTCGACCTCCGAACTTTCAAAGTATTGGCATACAATTTTGCCAGTTGACCTCAAGAGAGGTCTACAATTGTATATTGTATATCCTTTGTTATCCCACCCAAAGTATGATGTCATATATCAAGTTGAAGAGTTGTATACGCTGCTCAGGAGTTTACGCTATCCAGGAGTTGTACATCGTTCTCAAGAGATGTATAGGATGAGTGTTGGTTTAATGATATTGCAGTTATACAATGCTATTATATAAAGGTTATTTACTGAGAGGGATTCAATATTGGTTTTATTCCGAGAGACAATATGATATTTCCCGAGGGCCCGGGATATCTGGGATAACTGTACCCCTATCAATTTACCTTTTTGGGCCCTTAATCTTATCACTTTTGTTTACCTTTTTACTCAGTCGGAGAGAAGGAATCCAAAGAGAGCAATAATTCTACATGTGCGTCGTGCAAGATTTCCATTAAACGTGTAACTAAACGGCCTCTCCAATAAAGTCAATTAGACGTTTTTACACGTTGGCTCTCCAAATTGGAGGAAATAAAGAATCTTATCATATTATATCATAGATGAAGCAATCATCCCATCAACATAAGCTCACGAATGTCACAGTTAAATTGTTTTAGTTATAATTTGATAAACAGTGGTAACGTACATCTACTAGTTTATCACTGTTCCACAGATGGATGACAGATAATTTCCAATAGCTCGTCATGTTTACCGAGAACGAAAGATGTTTATCCACCATTTTGAATGATACTAACTGGAGTCAGGGTCATCAAGCTATGGAACAGTGGTTTATGAAAATAGATTGGGTTACTAAAGCTTGCCATGTTAAAGGCGATTGAACTATGTTATAGAACAACGTCCAGTACATTATAATATTTAAAAGTATTTTTTGAAAATACATATAAAGGATCTTCGCCCGCAGGACGTGTATTTTGAATGCCTTGAGAAGAACGCAAATATGGGTAATGGGTAACGGTGTTGCAATAGCTATAGTAGCATTTAAAAATCTGTTCCTCTCGAGATTAATTGGTGTTGCTGCATCATTGCTCAAATCTAGAGGAGTGTTGTTGCATCTTCGGTTTGGTGTTGTTGCATCAATAGTGAGAAACTAAAACCGTGAACTTATTGCTTCTTGGTGATGGTACATGTATACTAATGACAGTTTCTTTAAATAAAGATCGTGCGCTAACTGCACGTGTATGGTTATTGAGCAACTCGTCCTAGAAATGGGTTTAAATTGGGGAAACAAAATATCGTACGAAAATCTATCACCGGAAGTCTGGCCATCTTGATGCAACAACACGGTGTTGTTGCATCACGATACCCCCCAGTGAATATAGTCATGCCATGAGATTGGTATTAAAAAATATAACGTACCTTAATCCGCCCTTTATTGAGATCATATTGCAAGTACCAGGCAGGGTAGCGACCAAACAAGTGAGTGTGAGGACTAAAAACGAGAAATTGATCCCTTCCTTTGTCGTCCGTAGTATTCATTGGTATTCCCCCAGCAAGGCGAAGACACAAGGCTGATTTCCAGTCCTCTCCTAGTAAACATATAGAAATTAATATTGTGGTATAATTCTAATTTGGGTTCTAGACAAATGTGTTCCCCTCTACATAGATAAAAAATATTATTACCACCTTGCAGGGCCTGTTCTAGGGGTTTTAGTACTAGTTGAGAAGGCATTTAAATTGCTATATTGACGTGAGCAATATTGTGTCGGGCGTTAATGACTTTAGTCGGGCAATAATGACATTATCCGCCCGGCTATGTTTCCCGGGAAAAGTGATATCGTTCAGTGAGTAAGATTTTCTATTTCAAATTTGCTATTTCAGCCCTAGTCATTAACGGTGGTAATAATAGTAATAACGTCATTTCTGCGGGCAAAATAGTGAAATATTGTACCTTGGGCCCGCGGCCCTTGGTCAAATATTTCACTATATTGCCCTTTGAAATGACGTTATTGTACTATTGTGGCGTAATAGTTTATGCTGTGTCAGGGCCAGGAAGCGGCAAATAGCTAAGGGACAATGATTCCTGGTGGACAACATTTTTATTTTACATACATAATTTTTAGATAATGCTAGTTATATTTTCTAAATGATGAAAAAGTAGTTAATCTACAACTAGAAATGATGTGAATACCTTGACCGTCTGGCATACAGTTAGGGTACTTCTTGAAACCCACGGTAACCAACAGTTTCACGGATTCCCGACTGAGAACCACGCCAGGTCCACCGGACATATATTCAAACGACTTATTACCTCCCCGATAGAACAAGTGGCCGAAAAACCTCGGCTCATCAGGGCTAAACTTAGAGAGATAAAATTTAAGATTTTCTACCACGAGGAAACTGTCAGGGTCTAATTTAACAAAATATTCAGCCTTATTAATATATCTCTCATAAACGTACGTCCAACTGGCTTTAGATTTCATAGCAATATGGTTCCGTCCCTCTGTGACATTGAGTCCGATGGTAGGGAATGATTTGTTTTCCACTGAGCTCATATAGAGGTCTATATCACAGTGTCTCGCCCATGTATTTTGGACATGGCGCGTACGCTTCTCTAAGTCACTTGGACTGGTCATCACCCAACATAGGATCCTCGGCAAGCGATTGGACTCTGAATTTACTGCTTTTAATGTTGTGTTCGGGACTTTAACTGAAAACAAAAATGCAAAGAATCATGACATGATATTTCCAATTCTTGATTTTTAACTTTGGGGAGGATGTCACTGTTTTCTATTGTTTTCCCTGTTAAGTACATGAGGGCGATATGACCCAAACTGAAACGATTTTAATACTAAACTCTACATGAATGATGTTGGTGTTATTAACAATGGTGAATCTACACTATTATTATAGTTTATGCTTTGTATCGCAATTATTTCTATTTTTCCTCCTCAAGGGGAATAAATTCTATTATTTTATCATATTTAGAACATACCACAGTAACATACACTGTCAGTCTGT